TTGGACTGATCAGCCAAAGTTAGGGACAAGAGTGTACCTTAGTATTTGGATTTGAAATGTTGATTTTGTCCCTCTCTACCTTCATGCATGCAACGAGGAACATGCTGATTGAAGGTGATTACATTAATTATACAAAGAAATTAACGTTAATCGGTTCCTCTCTCTCTGTCTATATATATATATATATACACACACACACTAATGATGCTGCAGAGGTAAGGTTATATTTATAGACAAGTGACTAGGTTGAGCTTGTTTGTCATGACTTTGTACAAGTTGCCAAGATTCCCTAAATCTTTGACTCTTCAAAGATAATCAGTTGATTCATGAGTGCAAGAACAAATCAGAGCTCAATAGACTAGAACTTTCAGGCATTTTTCAATACAAACCGGTATGATCGGGCCTCTATATCATTCTGCTCATGCTTTCAAGCTTATGTCATTTAATAATCAGTTATTAGCTGGTATTTCTGACTAATTTAAACGAAATTGAACCCCTCGAAAGTGAAAGATGATTAGATAAAGGGGTAGGTCTCCGAGTCAGAGATTCAGTCTTGTGCTTAATTAAATATTACATGCAAAAAGGAAGAATGTGATAAAAATAAATCTGTCTTCCCTTGGATGCCCTATGGTATCTATAGCTAGGCACATTTTTCTCTTTTTAACAAAATTTTCCTTTTTGCAATGCTACTTTCTGTTTAAAGAATATATTGTTATATACAAATGATTTTGCTCTGAAATTAATAATTGAGGATACCTTTCTCATTAGAGCTGTTTGCCAGCGTCGATCTATTCAATTCAGGGCAACCTGTAAGGATCGATAGAAGTGGAGTGTTATGGCAAAAACCAAAATGCTCGATGGTACTAAACATAATCATGTACGAGCTAAGGTGTTGGCTTTAATTATTTCTACTTTCATAGTTTTCTTTCTAGTTTCAGCCAAAAACAGGGTAAAGATATAAAGAAAAAAATGGATTAGAATGGTTTCAACTAAAGTATATAGCATCCCAAAAATATATTTCCCTTGGAAAAAAAATTGATTCTAATTATTTTCTTTTGATAATTTAAGTTTGTCTGGAATTAAACCCAGATCAATAGAACAGAATGATTTTTATTATTATATTCATCAGAGGCTAATTTTTGTGAGGACTGATTGGCTGGAAAATTTTCTTTAATTAATTTGGATCTTTACTATTTAATGACATTATTAATATATGCTTATTGAGATTAATAAGTTAGTAGGATATATTCTTATAAAAAATTAATCCAAAAGGAAATAATTTGTTTGGTTAGCAAGAAATTCCAACAAATATTATAAGAGGGAGAGGGTGAAAATAGCAATTAAGCAAGGGCAAAACAATGAAGCATAATTCCCAAAGAAGCATGAGCATCAAATTAAGAGCTTGAAGTAACATGGACAAGTGATTATAGCATAGAATTACTAAAGCATATATCTTTAATTTGACTGTGTATATATAAACTTGAGCCTAAATTAATAAACTAATGTAGAATGGTGGTAACAGTTTAAAACACGAAGGCGTTTCCTCCAACCTGATTCTTGTCGTCACTTGATCTTGGTAATAGTGAGACCTCCTTAATTACCCAAGTGGGTCCCATGGTTAATTAATTTTCCAAATTAAAGAAAATGCATCAAAATTTAATCGACATCACCATGCTAAAATCATCGAAACATGTTTAATTCACTTTGGTGTTTGGAAATTTTCTTTTGAATATTTATGATTGCCAACGATTGAATCTTAATCGTTAAAAATAAAAGTTTAATATTTCAAGAAATCACATGATTGTTAATTTTTTAGAATGATGATATAAAATTCGAATAAAAACATTTCTAATTAAACTTGACAATATAAAATTCTTTTGCATATGATTTCACAAAAGAAAAGAAAAAGGTATATACTATATACTCCTTCATTCTGTTGCCTCTAATGTTGTTAATCTTGGGATCAAATACGCTAGCCGCTGTTTCAAAACCATGCCTTTGGAATCTTTTGGACTCAGACCATTAATCCATCTGATTCAAGAACTTTCACGTCCACAATATTTAATTACTTATTAATCTTTTAAGAGGTGTTAACTAAGTTAATAAGTTCCCTTTGATAGATATTTTTATTTTTTTGCTATTTATCTTTGACCTTTTATTTTTTATTATTCGTTTTTGGAAAAAAAAAAAAGATAAAAACATAATAGTATTATTCACAAACAAAACATCAACTTCTTGGGAAAAAAAACAGAACGTTGATTTGATAATTTTGTAGCTCAAAAACCTTTGTTATAGATAGCAATTATGACATAATTTTAATAGTAATTTTATCTATTTTCTCATGCTAATTTCGGCCTACTTTTTCTTTTGTGGGGTAATTATCTAAAATCTTTTATGCCGTATGCTTAGAAGTTGATTCAGCTAGCAGTATTCAAGAGCCAAAAACCAGCACCTATCACCAAAAAATAAAAAATCAATAAACCTCTACATTTAGTTCATTTAACCTTCAGTACCTCTGCAACTGCTCTTACTTCAATGTTACTGTATATTCATGTTTTAGTTCAAAAGCTTTGCATCAAAATTTTAGAGCTGGAAACGTGCATGCGCAGCGACAACATTTGGTCTTGATCTTACAAAATTTTCCTATGTCATCAATGCTCTTTCACTCTCTAATCTCTTACTTTAAAGAAAATTGAGCTCACAAAGCACACAATAAAGGAGATTTGAACACCTGGAAAACAGTAGGCTCCGTTTACCAAAGTCATGTCTTTTGATCTTGAAACCTGTTCATTTCTACTTATATTAGTACTAATCCACCACCAGATGTAAAGAAAACAAGATAGCTTACTTTTATTGGTAGTTATAATTTAACGATGAAAGAAAATATTATTGTGTCGAAATTTTAATATTAAATTTATCAAATATTATTTTTTAAAAACGACTCTTAGAACGTTATCTAACGAAATGATTATTTATGACTATGCTTTTTATCACAGAAAAATGTTTGTAATAACTTTTAGTGTACGGAATTTGGGCTTTAGAGGTTTAACAGAATTCCAAGTTCATGTGGGTGACTAATGTTGTCGGTTTGAAAGCATTGCCACCAAAGGAGCTGCTGTTTTTGGGAATTTGATGTTCAACTTTCAATGAAGTAAAAACCTGCTAGCTTTCTAAGGACAATGTCACGTGTAACATTAACCTTGATTAATTATTATATTAATTTGATTGTAATGTTTGCTTGCTCATTAATTTAGAGTTGTCCAGAAATTATTTGACAATCCAAGAAAAGATTCCTTTTAGATTTCCTTTTTGTTTCTTCTTTAACACCATAAAAATATTTTTGTTACAAGAATGCCCTTTATAGTTAAATATCTTTGAATCTTCAAGATTATCTGATCAGCCACCAAGGCAAACTTGCTTGTCTTTATCTCATTGCAAAATGCATTAAAGCAATGTCCTGAAAAATTTTAGATACATTTAAATATGATAATTTGGAATGGCTAATCCAAAATTTTTTTTTCCAGATATTCATTTATATTATATAAAAACGGTTCAGATTTAGAATTAGTATAATACAAAATTTGAAAGTTTAAGATGTAAATTGCATATTATTTAAAAAATTTAAAATACAAATTACATATTTCTTTTAGATATCAATTTGTACATTTTTCAGAAGCTGAAATACTAAAATTATAATTAACTCCGTTTATATTTGATCAAATCAACCAATAATTACCTACCCATCACCTTCAAATCTTTGTGGTAGACAGGTAAGCAATTTATACATTTATATATGCATATGGATATATTTTATTTGAAGCTATCATAGATTAAATCTTTTTCATTGAAATTATATCATAAGATAATGAGTTTCAAAAATATAACCTAATTTTCAAATTTATGTTATAAGAATTATGTCATTAGTTCTTATCTTTTTCTTTTTCTTTTCCAACATGCCTAGCATTTTGTTGTTGCTCTCGGAGTGCAGTTGCTATGTAGTAACTGCAAAAAAAGGTAGTTAACGGATGCCCCATAAGGATAGAGGATTTTTTTTTTTTTTTTTTGTTATATCAAGAAGACCAAATCTTAATAAAAATAAGAGGGAGGTGAGTGACTTGATTCAAAACCAAACCCGTGATGTCCCCTCAAGTGCCTTTAACCACTAAGCTAAAGGCTTGGAGACAGAAAAATTGAAAACATAAGAATGTAAAGTCAAGCAAACACAAAGCAGAATATAATGAAAAGTAATTCTTTTGGAGTGTCTTCAAAGAAATGCGTTGCATTTAATCATTTACAGATTGTTTATTAATTTCCCCACTAATACCTTCTATACAGAGATAAAAAGAAAGGTGAAAGGGGTTGAAAACTTGAAAGCTTTGGCGAAGAGGGGAGAATATGATCAATGGTTTATATAGTCCTTTCAAACTGTCAACAATTTCTGTTCCATGTTCTTTGTACTTCTCAGGTCAATGAATGATGTTTCTGGAGACAGAATCATTTAGTTATAGTACTCAAATAAAAGTTACTATCTACATTAAGTGGCAAAAGCAGCAGAGCAGACCAAGTAACTACACCAGCAGCAACAATGGGGATTTGGTAGTTGCCCACCAGCAAAGCAATTCGTATCCTATCACAATAGTTCATAAAAAATGACAAATGTTGTCAAATTTGAAGCATTGTTTGATAATCATCCAATCCAAATATACCTTTTCATAAAACATGCACTACTCTACAGGAGCCGGACATAACAATTAGCAAACTTTTCTAATTTATTTGGTCCATAACCTGTCACAGATCAATGGCAACGATGACTCAACACAGCCCCTTTAGCACCAGATCTAAAGTTTCAATTTCATTTGCAATCAAAGTTTGTTGTGGTAATGAAGTGGATCTTACCTGCTTTCCTCTGCAGCAACCATGCTCAAACCGGAATCAATACGTTATTCATTCAACTCAAACAGGCAATGCGTTTGTAAATTGAACTGCCTCAACAACTGAAATCAGCTATAATGCATGAGCATATACTAGTTGTCAAACAGCAAAACTACAGAAATTACATGGACTGTCAATGTTTCTATAGTATCAGTGCTTTCCTTGTTGGTGAAGCTACTAAACAATTCTTTGTGCATAATTTTATTACTAGCCAAATTTTATTTCTACTTCTGACTTGATAAAGCACATTCTTGCTTTAAGTCACTAAGAACAAAGTGGATCACTTGAGTGAGAGAAAAGTATATCAGCCGATATCCAGCAGTGAGCAAGAAGCATCACTGCTACTAACCTTCACTATAAAACAAGCTAACAGGCCAGACTAATGGTTAGAAAGACAGAAGCAGTACCAGTTGAAACATATTTACATGTGACTGCAACAAACTAAAAGATTACTTCTTCCACATTGTAACTATAGAGCTTAACAAAGACACTTTGCCCCGGAATTCATACATAACAAACTCCCCAACAGATTTCAGGGCAAATTACCTTAATATTTCCAGATAGTCAAAGATAAACTCCTATAAAATTGCGAGACTGAATATTCTAGAAGCTTTTAGAAAAGCTTTCACAATATGAAAGCTAATGCAAAAAGATAAAGAATGATGTTGGTTCATCAGGTGCTGCAAAATACACCATAAAATTATATTCTGTCAGATAATAGTAAGCACCAAATTGGATTAACTCTTGACAAACCATAACCAAATTCAAGTGGTCCATTTTTTTAATGAGAAACAATGATACTATAAATTCCAGCACAATCCAAGGATGCTCCAAATCATTTTGGAAGATCATGAAAAGACACCATTTTGTTGTTATTGTAATTGTGGTAAATTTATAGCATATGACCTTTATAAAGAATTCAAACATATGACCTTTATAAAGAATTCAAACATATGACCTTTATAAAGAATTCAAATTCAAACAGCCTTATTAGATATAATTAAGGGGGCGGGGGGATGGGAATTAAAGACGATCGAAAAGAATTCCTAAATCAATAAGAGGGATCGATCTAGAAAAATGAAAGAGTTAACAATATCGAAAGTACAATGTGTACAAGCTGTGATGATGATAGCACAATCATATAAATTAACCATCAGGAAATAAATCAATAGGCAAGGAAAGTAAAATACATTATGAAATGAAACCTCCTATGGTCATATGTTAAGTAAATAAGAAAGGGCTAGTGTAAAAGATTTTCTTACAATTCTTCCCCATAAATCAGTCCCGTGACACACAGTTTCAAGAAGCCCAGCCCTCATGTAGTCATCAAAGTACAACCCTGCCCAGTGTCAATGTGCATCATTAAGTTCAAATATGGAACGACATCACCAATTCTCTAAAAGATCTTGGCGATAGGAAACAGATTCAAAGGGATATGCCCAAGATGTTGATGCAGTAGCAAGGACCACTCAATTCACAATTCACCAACAAGTGAGAAGTAATCCAGTCAAATGTGTGCAGGACAGGGGAATATGATGGTGTAAAAGAAGATATCATCCCTTTGTTACTAAAGAAACAGGCAATTGTTGCCACATGTTAACATCTCAACAGCTCATGAACAAAAATCTCCCGAGGCAAATTTTCCAGCTCAGTGGACAGAGGAATCAAATCTTGGCTCATAGAAGCAAACCTGACTATTGTATGACTGAAGAGCACAGCCAGCAATCCAAGACCAAAGCTTCTTATCCACATCATAAAGGAGGCCCTTCCCTTGGTTCCAAGATGTGAAGCAGATAAGATTATCTTGTCCAAAGCACTCAAATCTCTCAGCTGATAGCCTCAACAAAGCTCGAAAATACTTAGGTGGCATTCTACTTATCTCCACCCACATAATCTTAGCATGATCCAATTCCCAAATTCTCATACTCTGTAGAGTACTATAAAGACCGATTCTTCCAACCAGAAACAGGCGCTTCTGTGTCCCAGCAACCAAATAACCATCTAACAAAGATCTTGGGAACTTTGCTGGAATATGCTCCCAATATCCTGAGTCCAGTCTATACATCATCAAGCCAAGTGGTGAAAGGGTTTCCAAATACAACCTGGAGTCACAATATGCCATCTTTGAGGAGCAAAGATTAACTGCAGGCATTATCTGGTGGACTGTCCATTTATCAATCTTTGAATCATAGACTTCGGTGGGCAGTGACTTATCGCCATAAATATCACTTGTGGCTATAACTTTAAATGATTTGTCTGTTCGATCCACAACCATAATCAACTGTCTTTGCTGGTTATAATTCATGTTTGGCAGTGTTCTCCAAGTTTGTGTAAGAGGATTACATACTAAAGCTTTGAAAGTTAGACCATCGAGTCCAGAAAAGCAAACTAGACCACCTGAAGAGCCAACCAACCAGAAGGCCCACTGAGGCAAAAAATTGAATGGAATTCTATACCATACTTTTAACGGCAAGCTAAAAATGGAACATTGTGGAGTCTGTGAGTTCTTCCAAAATGTAAGGAGACAAGGCCCATGAGATGGCACTTGTGAGTGAAACTTGAGAAAACTATTATCTTGAAGTATTGAGTTCCATCTTTTACAAACTGAACGAAGCCGAAATATCATAAATGGAGGAACCCTTGCCAAAATCTCATTCAATAAGTCCTCAGGCAACATTGCCCATATGTTATCTTCCATTTGAATATCAGGATGAACCACCTTACCAAATGTAGCAACCGTTTCCTCATCTAAACCCCGCGGTTTAGTCTTTATCACTTTCTGCCGAGAGGGACTAGTGTTCCTGGATCCTACACGACCCAACGGGCTTGTATTCCTCGACCCACCGACCCTAATAGGTGACACTTGTTTAGGACAACTCTCCTCATCACAGAAAGCCCCATTTTTCATCAACTGGGAACTAGAAACTCCAGACCCAGATTTAGATGATTCCCCAACACCATCCATAGCTATTAATCCTCAAAACACTAAGCAACCCAATGTTGTTTCTTGTACGAAAACCAAGCTTAACACCGACCCAAAGATCCTAGCTTTCAAGCTTAAATAATGAATTCAAAGTAACAAGTAGATAATTCCTCAACACCACCCATAGATATTAATTCTCGAAATACAAAGCAACCCAATGTTGTTTCTTACCTAAAAACCAAGCTGAAAACCCAAATGCAAGATTTTTTACATCCAAAGATCCTAGCTTTCAAGCTGAAAACAACGAATTCAAGTACCAAACAGCAAATCGCAATACCCCAAATAACACAATAAATAACTTGAACAACTTCTGATCAAAAACCCCAAATTTTTAATCAGATCCAGGCATGAAAATCTTGTAAAATGATAAAAATGACTCAAAAAAATGATGGAAGCATTGAATGGGATGATAAAACAAAACATAGAAAAGTTTGAATCGTGGAGAACATTGAGAAGGATTACCTTAGATTCAAGGAAATTATCTGACTTTTTTGCTTGGCGACGAATAAACTTTGTCAGAACTCAGGAGAAGTAAAATTCTGGCATAGAAATGAGAGAACCTAACCGCAGGGGTCAGGCCTCCCTCTTACATTGTTTTTCAGATTTATTTTGTCATTAATTAAGAAAAGAAAATTTTAATGGTTTATTTACGGGAAATTTGGAGCCCCAGTCTGCTCTTTAGGTAAAAGATAGAGCATGCTGTAAATTGACTAAATTCCATCCATTTTTTTTTGGTTTCCACTTTCCTGTATAATTTAATATGAGATATCAGTTTAAAAATGGATAATTTATCTAAATTTGTTATGTAATTACAAAATTATCCCTAAATTTATTGTATTTATATATATATGTCTTTTTTTATATATTTATTGAATATATAATAACAATAAATTATTTGTATTTAACCATTACAATTTTTTAATTTGAGTTTATTTATTATAAATAATTTTTAATTTAAAATTAATAAATATATCATCATTATTTTTATAAATATATATATTTAAGTTTAAAATATTGACCAATTTTATAATTACTAAAATCAAATGGACAAATATTTAATTATAATCATTTTTAACTAACTTTTTTCATATTATATCTTTCTATTTTTAAAATTATTAGAGGTCAAAATAATATCACATGCATAATATATTCATCTTATTGTACGTATATTTACATATAAACATACTTATGATTATAAATTTTGTTTTTATATATTTATTTACATTTTTTATTATTAATAGATTTGATATATGTTGAGAAAAAATAAAAGATTTATTATTATAAAATATTGTTTTATGTAAGTATTTAAGAATATTAATTTTTAAAGATAAAATATTATTTAAAGTTTAAATAAAATTTAAAAAAAAAAAAAACGAATCTAATTGTCTTATAAATTCAAAAAATTTACTATAAATTATGTATTTTTTAAATAAATAAATTTGTGTTAAATTACCCTAAAAACTTTAAAAAAAAAATTATAAAAATTTACTTTATACCATGTCATTGAATAGCCAATGAATAAATCTTCACAGCAAAGTGACGCCATGATTAAGAGTTTTTATTTTGGAAAAGTCCATGATTAAAATTCAAGTTTATTCAAGTATAAAAAAAGTCAAGTAGATATGAAATTTGTGTTTCTGTATTTATTTATTTTCTATTAAATATATATAAAATATAAAAATTATTATTGTATAATTTATGTTAATAGATAAAATATAAAATATATTTTGATTAAAATTTTGAAACATAATAATTTTATATTTTTTTATCATTTTATTATATGTGTTTAAAATTATTACATCTAAATTTCAAATCAATCATGAGCAAATGGGATTTTTTGGCGAAGAGACAATGAAGAGTGAGGATCGATGATGGTTGGGAAAGTCACAAGTCACAAGTATAGATATAAAGGAAAGGACAGCTGGCGAAGAAGTGTTGAAATATAAGACAAATTAAACTTGGTGATTTGATTTGTGTCATTTGTTTGTTGTTGCCTTGTTGGGCTCAACTTACATCATGGGCTCCACTAAATTTGCTTTTGCCTTGCTGTTGATGGCTTCATTACAGATTTGTTCTTGCAGATATGATGGTGGGTCTGTAAACTCCCAAAATTATCCTACTTCCCAATTTTTCACACCACATGTCTATCGTAAGAAATTATTTTTAGCATTATCAATTCAATGTTCTCTTCAATTAAATATAAATATTTGAACCTGTCAAAGAGTTACTTGGTTATTAATTCCCCGGTTCTTTGAATTTGGAATCTTTCACCGAAACAAAGATTTTATATAGGGTTAAATATAAAAATTCTAAAAAATTCTAAAATAAATTCTAAAATAAAATTTAAAAATTCTTAAAATTTTTTAAATACTAAACAATTTTAAAAAATTCTAAAAAAATTTAGGATGCTTAAGAATTTTCAAAAAATCTCAAAATTAAAAAAAAAAACAAAATTTTTCAAAAAAATCAAAGAATAAAGATTTTTAAAATATAAAAATTTATTAAAATTCAAAAAATTCACAAAACTTAAAAATAGTTACAATAAAAAAATCTAAAATTTTTTGAAAAAGTATAAAAGTTTTTAAAAAATTGTAACAAAATTTTAAAATTTTGTGAAAATTTTTCATTTTTTTCAATCTTACAATTTTATTCTTTTCCATGTTTTTTGAATTTTAAAATGTTTTTAAACTTTTTGGTTTTTATTAAATTTTTAAGTTTTTTATTTTTATTTTCTAAAAATTTTTCAAATTTTTAGAAATTTTTTTTAAATTTATCAGATTTTTTTTAAAAAAATTTATATTTTTTTAAAATTTCAAAAAATTTTATATTTTTTAAAGTTTCTTTTATTTTTTAAACTTTCAAAAAATTTAATTTTTATTAAAACTTTCATTTTTTGAATTCTTTAGAATTTTCATTAAATTTTTAAGTTTTTTATTTTTTATTTTTCAAAATTTTTAGAAATTTTTTAAAATTTTATCAGACTTTTTTTAAAATTTTTTATATTTTTTGAAATTTCAAAAAATTTTAGATTTTTTAATTTTTAAACTTTAAGAAAATTTAATTTTTATTAAAATTTCATTTTTTGTAATTTTAATTAAATTTTTCAAAATTTTTGGAATTTTTAAATTATCATAATTTTATAACTTATAAAAAATATTTCATATTTTTGAATTTTTTAAAGTTTTAAAAGTTTTATAGAATTTTATAAATATTTTAGTAGTTTTTAAGAATTTTTTGAACTTTAAAATTTTTTTGTAAATTTTAAATTTTTTTAGATTTTTTTTCAAAATTTTTAAAAATTATTTAGAATTATTTAAAATTATTTTGAATTATTTAAAATTTTTTAAACTTTTTTTGAAAATTTTTGAATTTTTTAGAATCTTTTTAAATTTTTTTATGTGGACCCGAATTGATGATGTGATGTTAACTAATTTTTTTTTACATATATAAATATTTTACTGAATATTAATGGTACGTTAACAAGATTAATTGACAATGTGAGTATCATATACAGACATGAATATAGGTAATGTATTTAAATTTTGTTTAGTTATTTAAAACTGGTTGGACTAACGTCGTATTAGACGGGTGAAACACCTATTCATTTTGTGTAAAGGTGAAATTTGAATATTTTTGAAGATTTGTTGGACTCCTATATATTGAGCTTTATAATTAGGGTTACATTTTTATTAGCTTCTTTAAAGCATAAATTTATATTTTATTTTTTTAATGTATTTGTTAATTTTTTATAATTTAACTTAGATTTTTTTATATTTATTTAAGATATTTGTTTGAAATTTGTTTATATTAATTGTATGTTAAAATAATTTTAATTTAAGATAATTCTTTTCTTTTTTATGTTTTAAGGGAAGACAGATCTCTACAACAAGGAGGAGGGGAGAAGTTGGGGTCTAACCCCAATCTTGATGTCTTCTTTAAAAAATTTTTGATCATTAGACGAAGAAGCTGAAGACATTTAAGATCATTATAACTATTATATATGTTTGTCATTTTTATTTGTGATGATTTTTAGAAATTTTTATCATGAAATTAAATTTATATTTGTGTTAATTAGTCAAATAATAATAATAACAACAAAGAAACACGAAGCAACATTACCTATTTATCTATTTACAAATAATGAGAATTAAATCCAACTAATTTAAGGCATGAAACCAGTCATGGAAAGATAGAGAAGCTGTTGATTTTTTTTTTTAAAATTTTTTATTGCTTTTTTGTTCTTTCACTCCTATGCTAATTGATTGTTTATTGCTACGGGTAAGAGTGCTATTCCCATTAGACCCTTAATTTGATCAGAGTATGGTTTGTCTACTATTCAAACCTTTAACCAGGTTGCCCTTTTCCTTAAGTTGAGATGAAGTGTACCGAATGCTATAAGGAGGATGGGAAGGGTTGAAAAGGCTGAAAAAGTTGTTGAATCCAACAATTAGCTTTAAAAATTACATTTATTATTTTGTAGCTTAATTCTAAAATTAAACATTTTTTTTTCTTTGTTCCATCCTTCCTACTAAACAAGTGAGAGTAGTTGAGCAAGAAGCATTTGTCATTCACAAGTAGAGAATTTTTTCTTTCTCTTCTCTTACACGGGGAAAGAAGGAATTTGAGCTCAACTAGCAAAATCTTTTTCTTTTATAAACGGGGAGATCATGGCATGTGAATAAAAAAAATCATAAATATTAAAATTTAAATTCAAATTTGTCACAACTCCCATATTATAAGTGAGGACATGACCAATTGAGCTAACGCTCTTGTGATTCAATTATCAAAGTGTTTAATGGTTGAATAAAAACTTTGGTTAAATCCTATGGCTAGCAATTAAGGAAAGACCGAAAGAGAGTAAAGGGGGTGCAGCAATAATTGAAACAACTAAAAGAAGAATACAAATTTAGATCCAAGAAGGTCTTGAGCACTTTTCTTCAAGTGGGAACTGATTGGTCAATAAATTAAATGGTTGCTTGAAACTCATGTCCCTACTAAATACTCTTTAATCAAAATAGCAAATGCTAGAAATTAATGCATGCATTTTTCATCAGTTATTCTTATTCTTATCGAGTTAGCCATATCCTACTAAAAGTCTACTTGAATAAGTAATAAGATTAATTTTAATGAGATTAAAAATAGTGATAGAGGTGAAATTGATTATTGTAATAATGAGATTTGATATTATAGTAATAAAATTAAAATCAATAATAAAATATGTATTTAGATGTAAAAATAATAGTGACAGCAAAATCAATTATAATGAGAAAAAATGATAATTAAAGACAATAGAGTAAAAATTATATTAACAAAAATATTAAATTATTTAATATTTATTAAATTATTAAATTATTAAAAATTATTAAATTATTTTTAAATAAATTATTAGTTTTGCTAATAAAAATTAAAAACAAAAAATAGAGTTAAAAATTAATAAATAATTATGATATTAAATGAATAAAAGTATTTTATAATTTTTAAATAAAAATCAAAAGAAAAAAAAAGTTAAATTATAAAAATATTATTATATTTGTAATATAATACAAAATGTAAAGGACAAAAATGAAAGAAAAAATCAAAATTGACTGACATTCTTCCAGTAGACCAATTTTTTCTGGTGAAAAAATGTGCTCGATTGCCGTTAATACACTCAACCACACCGCCACCAGGTTGCTCAAATGAATCTTTAGTATTATATTTGACTAAAAATTTGTAACTTTTAATATTTCAATAACATATTATTTTTTATTTGTTAGATATACGATCACAGTAATAAGAAAAATCTATACGAATCCTAATGTTTAAGTTAAAAATTAAGCAACAAAGTGGTGCCATGATTAAGAAAACAACATCTATTATACAAGAAAATATGAAGGAAGGTTCTCATGTTTGGTTGATGCGGAAAAGAGTGAGGAAAGTCCGAAAATGTTAGCAAGGAAAACATAGAAGGAATCCAAATCCGTAATAATTTGTTCCTCTAATTTGTTTTTAGAAAGTAAGGAAAAAATTTCCAAGACCCTGTACGCAAACCGTCTCTTGTTTTTATGTTTTAATAGTTTCAAACTCCAAATAAGATAAAGAGTTTTATTTCCATATTCTTTATTTTCTTTCCTTCCTTTTTTCCATCTCCTCCATATTTTTCATGAACCAAGTAGAATGTAATGTATTGTACATAAATAAAACTAATGTATGGCTTTGTTTGGTTCAGGAAAAATACAAGGCAAAAGCAAATGAAATATTTGGATTCCTTTTTTTTTTTTTGGTTTTACTGGAGATGAAAAACATGAGAAAAATTTTAGTTAAGGAAAATATAAAGAAATTTTGAAAGGAATAATTTCCCTTCGAAAACATATGATGATGCAACCGGCAAACAAAGAGTTAAATACGACCCAAAACTAAGAGAATTTTTATTACATTCCATAGACAAAGTTGCAGTCCTGAAGGGAAGCATGAGCTAGCTTTGGGGACGAAGCCCGTAGCTAATTGTTTTGTTCAGCCTATCGTATCTAATTATTAGGGGCTTTAATTATTTCTATCATAGACATAGACATAATTAAAATCTTTATTCTTTAATTATAACCGTCCAATGGCCATTATCTGCTTGAACCATATTTTTGCGATTCTCACCTTCCCACCAGTTAGGAGGAATTTTATGCTTGTCTTTCAGGCGGTCTAAATATTTGTTTACAAGTGCAACATCGTGATCAACTTCCAGATGAAATCCTTCGTCTTGTACGCCTGCAACTCCATGCAGGTATATCTCCATATTGTGAGCACTAACATATTCATCCGCCTCACCTAACTTTCTTTCGGTTAGCCTTATTTCTTCTTCCTCCTCCTGGGTATTTTTATCTGGGGAATCTGGGAGATCAGGAAGATTTGATCTGCCTAAAAGCCTCCACTTCAAGTAGTTTGACTTTGTGGAGTTAATTTTTAACTCTTCTCCCAAATGGATGTAGGAACCAATTGGAAGTCGATGAACGGGATCTCTGGCATTTGTAATGCGTAGAAGATGAAGATCATGAGCACCAAGTCTCTTAAATACTTCCTTCAAACCATCGTTTCCAACACATGGACCTCCAAATACGAAACCTGTGACCATGCACGACTTCTGTGCATTGTCTTTGGGCTTGTTATATCCATTGGCAACTATGTCCATTGCATTTAGAGTCGCAAGTGCTGCGCCTAAGCTAAAGCCTGTTACAGTTATGCTTATTTCCTCATCTTGATACTTGTTCACCAGTTCCCTTACCGCATCTCGAACCTGCAGAAAGGCAATATATAATTAAGAGTTTGTTCTTAATTATGATCATTTTTTGATCGGATCCTGTATATATATATATAATCAGTAGTCATCCTAAATTTTCTGACACAAGAATAGCCTGCGCTTTTAATGGAGTTTTTCTAAAACATCGCAAACCTTTCGGTGGTTCATAAACGCCGCTAAAAGTATAAAAAATCAAAGAAAAAACTATTTTCATATAGTGGTTGATACGCACAGTAGCTTAGGAATTGCATATATATAATGAAACATTACCTGGTGTCTGGCACTAGTCTTGTTGTGAGCAGAATCTGACCTTGTTCCAGTATAAAGAGAAAGGAAGCCGGAGTGCACCATAGCTTGGTTGTCAGTCCCGAATAATTCTGAAGCGGATGTTTGGAAAAAGTTTACATTATTAAACCACTCTGAGTCTGTTATGGTTCCTCTCCAAGCAACCAAAATATCCCTCCTTCCCAGAACAGCCTTTCCTTCATCTGTGGTCACTGCCACATATCCAAACCATGCAGACTCAACAGCATCTGAGCCTGCATAAAAGAAGTGGGTCACGCTGTGCTTGAATTTATTTCCCTTTTCAAGACAAGCCCCCGAGAAAAACTCTTCTTTCGGGTATAAGCTATGTCCGAACCCGCTAGATTCCTTTTTATTGTTGAAGAGGTCTCCAACCGCTCCAGCTCTTTCACCGTAGTGAATAATATAGTGGCGGAGATCAAGATCCAGAGGGTGCAATAGACCATCCCAGTTTTTCTGGCCACTTAGCTCTCTCCAACGAGTTGCTACATTGGAGCTCGCCATCACTCTCTTTTTAACTCTCACTTCTTTCTTTTTTTTTTTTCGTTTGTTAAGATGCGACTCCTATTCCTACAGCTACATGTTTGGTTGCTTTGTATAGAGCACTCTCCTAGTGCTCCAACAAATATATAAGTAGAAATATGGACCTGATAGGAAGGAGAAAGCTTAAGTAACCGATATTGGGGAGAACCACTCTTTGTGAAATGGTGGACACGTTCCAAAAATTTTTAAAAAAAAATTAAATTTCCAAGACACTCTAATTTTTTTTTTACACTAAAAATTAAAAAACAAAAAAAAAAAAATTTCACACCGTTTTATCTGTAAATTAATAAATTAATCAATAATTAATATTTAAATACACTCAAAAAAAAATCTTAAATCAATCACTATTATCTGACCTTGCCTTACGTGATTCTTCAAAAGAATGACAGCGACAAATCGTAGCACTAATGTAATTGTAGTCACCAGACTTTTGATTATGCTCACATAATGACAGAGACAAATCGTAGAACTAATGTAATTGTAGTCACCAGACTTTTGATCATGTTCACATAATGACAGAGACAAATCGTAGCACCATTGTAATTGTAGTCACCGGACTTTTGATCATGGTCGTGGTTTCTCCTACTATTATTTACCCTTTAATATATATTTTTTATTCACAAAAAATGTAACTAATCATAATAACTTTGTGTTATTATAAATATGAAGTTCAAATTCCATTTACATGAATTTGATTTAGTTTTATGTTAAATTTATTTATTCAGTTCGGGAAAAGCAAAATTCTAAGACTTGTATGTGATAATTAAAACACATAATCAAATAAATTAATTAACATACATGACATCGTTAAAAGCAGAATTGTGGACAAGCTAGCTTTTCTCTTGGCTCTTCTTTTTAGTAGTAGCCTTCAATGAGTAAATATTAGAAGACTTAACCATATATTTTCCAAATCATCAAAAACATGAGTTACCACATAAAAAATAAGGCAAAATTGATCTATTAAGCTTCAACACAAGTATGTTTCAATGAAAGGCATTTATTAAAAAAAAAAAATTGTAAAATTAACTTTTGTATTATACTATTATCATAACGTATATATCCGTAAACCTATCGTTAGATATGAATTAGAGAAGTCACTACCAATTTTTTTTTATTTAAAAAACAATTATCTAATAGTTTAGAGAATAAAAATTTTTTTTATTTTTTTGTTTTTTGCAAATTGATTTACTAAATTATTTTATAATTTAATGGATTCCATAAAAATTAAATTCATGAAAAACCTTTCAATAATTTGATAAGATTCATAAATTTATTTTTTTTTAAATTTTCAATAAAAGAATAATAATGAATTATATATAAAAATATATACATATAAAATATATATGTATTATTATACATGAAATAAAAATTAAACCACATACCAATCGAATCGTGGGTCAAGCTTGCACAGAGATCAAGTTTTTATTTGACCAAAATGGTACCGTTTAAAAATATAGCTTCTTTTATTTTTATTTCCATCTTCTTCTTTGCAAGTTCCCTGGTTTCTCTAAAGTTCAAGAACCCTTAAGAAAACCAGTCATAGAAATGGCAAGGCCCGAATATTGTTGCCTGTCACCAGTGATGGAAATTGAGGTCACCACCAGCCATCGCCAATTTTGACATTTTGCGTAGTCAGTAGTGCTTCCTTCCTCCTTCCTCTTTCGTGTGTCCCTTTTACTTTCTCTTCTCCTTGGATTTCAATTAATAGCCCAGAAACTAATTAAGATTGTCGCCACTATAGTCGACGCCACCAAAAAGCCTTCAAACTCCTTTCATTTTTTGCTAATGATATTTTAAAAAAAAAACTTTGTTCTTTTTTTGTTTGGATTGGATTCTACCACCTTTTAAAGAGACTAAACCCGAAACCCGAAAAAAATTTGTGTTTATACTTTCCGCTATTTGTATGTCTATTGATTGTGGGTTAATTGTGGGTTATTTTTGCAGGTTGAATCTACTGCTAAATTGGTGAATGGGTGAGGTCTTAGGTATGAGTTTTTCTGGGTTTTGGCTTTGGGTGAATTGATTGTCTGTGTTAAGGCTCCTTGCTGGGGATTTTTTTATTTTGGAGGAGTACATGGGCAAAGGTAGTGTGACTGAATGTTGTGTAGAATTCCTTGAATACTCTTTTTCTTTTTTTTTTTGCAACGATGAAGCTGCTGTGTGGGAAAATTAAGCTTGAATCCCAAAAAAATCTCTTTGCGTTGAATTGCCCTTGATTGCTGGCCTCTTTTCTGCTTTCGGTTGGGTCTTTATTTTTGCAAATAAATTTAATGTGATTTGATTTGATTATGAATTGATTTCAGTAATTGCATAAATGAAGCACAAAAATTTTGCAAAATCTTCAACGTAAATGCATAAATCAAGCACCAAAATTTCTTGCATCAATTAAGCACCAAAATTTCCTGCAATGTTTTTTCTTTTCAAACTTTCCCCCCTTTTTTTAACACAAGTAAAATTAAACAAAAAAGTAAAGAAAACAAATAAAATCAAATTAAAATTTAAAACTTGTTTTATTGGGCCCAAAATTTCTCAATTGAACTCAATTCTCAACTAAAAGCCTATTTTCAATCTTGAAAAATTTTTTGGATAAAATAAAGTGTTTACAATTGTTTCTCTGTGTATTTTATGTGGAATAAGAATTACACAAAGACTAAAGATATCCATTTTATTCGAGTCTAAAAGCCAAGATTTAAAAAAGCGATCAAAGTATACCAAAATAGGAAAATGATCGAGATTGAATTGTGAAACAAGAACTAACATGATCTAGACTAAGTTAATATCAAAACAAGTGATCGAGATCGAACTGTAGGTCTAAAAATAAATGATTTGGACTAAGCCAAGATCAAAACAAGTGACTGAGATTGAATCGCAAAGCAAAATTAGACAAAAAATAAAGAAAACAAATTAAATCAAATTAAAATTTAAAACTTTTTTATTGGGCCCAAAGTTTTCTAATTGAGCTCAATTCTCAACCGAAAGCTTGTTTCCAATCTTGAAAAAATTTTCGAAAAAATAGGATATCTACAGTTGTCTATTTTCATGCATTTTCTATAGAATAGGAATTGCACAAAGACAAAAAGACATCCATTTTATTCGAGTCTGAAAGCCGAGATTTAAAAAAGTAATCAAAGTATACCAAAATAGGAAAATGATTGAGATTGAACTGCGAAACAAGAACTGACATGATTTGAACTGAGTCGAGATCAAAATAGGTGACTGGGATCGAATCACAGGTCTGAAAATAAATGATTTGGACTGAGTCAAGATCAAAACAAGTGATTGTGATTGAACTGCAAGTCTAAAAGTAAAAATGATCTACATTGAACCAAGATCGAAGATAAGTAATTGGGATTGAACCGCAGGTCGAAAAACATAAAATTCAAAATTTCAGCTTGAAATCCAAAGATTCACAATTTGGAAATTCAAAGATTTGTAAGGTTCCATAACAAAAGTTGAAAGATCTAAATATTTCAAGTTTCCTAACAAAATTGCAAAGATTCAAGATTCTCAAAGGTTTCAAGTTTGCAAGGACTTTTAGATTCGTAAGAATGAAATATTTGCAAGATTTCAAGTTTCACAGAGGTTCTAGATTCGCAAAAACTTTAGGATCGCAAGAGCTTTTTGATTTGCAAGAATGGAAGATTCATAAGATTTCAAGTTTCGTAAAGGTTCTAGATTAGCAAAGATTTCAAGTTCGCAAGGATTTTTTGATTCACAAGAATGGAAAATTCACAAGATTCCAAAATTTGTAAAGATTCTAGATTCGTAAAGATTTCAAGTTTGCAAAAACTTTCAGATTCACAAAAATGAAAAATTCACAAGAGTTCAAGTTTCACAAAGATTCTAGATTCAAAAGATTTCATAATAAAATTGAAAGAGTCCAAAAGATAAAGTGACAAGACCAAGTCAAGGTCGAAGATGAATGATCGAGATTGAATCATGGGTTTGAAAAATGATCTAGATTGGGCCGAGATTAAATGATAAGGAATAAACCACAAGTCTAAAAAATGATCTAGACTAAGCCAAGATCGAATGACTAGAACAAAACCACAAGTTTGAAAAATGATATGGACTAAACCAAGATCAAATGATCGAGACGTAACCACAAGTCTGAAAAATGATTTGGACTGAGCCAAGATCAAATAATTGAGACTGAACCACAAGTCAGAAAGATAAAATGACCAGGACTGAGTTGAGGCCGAAGTTGAATGATTGAGACTGAACCATAAGTTTGAAAAATGATCTGGACTAAGCTAAGATTAAATGACTGAGACTAAATCTCAAGTCTGAAAGATAAAGCAACTAGGACTAAGTCAAGGTTGAAGTTGAATGAATGAAACTGAACCACAAGTCAAGAAAATGATTTGCATTGAGCCAAAATCGAATGAGTGATAAACGATTATGCAATGATGCAAATGCATGTCCTATATAGGATGAAAATGTGAACACAATGCATGTAATGTGGATGTTACCAAATTAATGTCATAAGGTTTCAATTGTAGTAAAAAAGTTCTCATGACTCCACTATTCCTTCTTAGCTTCTCAGTATAAATAATCTCAAAACAAGTTTTATTAACTAATCCACATCTGGTCACAACTTACAAGTTATGTGAACTAATCTATCACTGAATTCATTATCGGGTCACTTTGCTTACCCTCTTTTCAATCATTTTCTCAGGTTTTTTTCACTTCTTTCAACTTGAATTTCTTTCAAAAGAATAAAAAATCTTTTATGAATAGTGTCATTTATTTATTTATCATAATTCTAATTCTTGACAAATATGATACATTTTCTTAATTCATGTAGGGGATGTACATTTGGTAAAGAATAAGAAAAATTGGTCTTTATTATCGAAAAGAAATATGGCCAATAACAAATCAAATGTGAACAAAGACAGAATACTGTGACTATCCAAATGGGATATCAACATCTAAAATAATGATTATTTAGATAATTTTGA